AACAACAACAAATGCCACTATAGCTACTGAAGGTCCAAATACAGATACCTGACACACATCCAAAAGTACCTCACAGATGAAGCCATCTAAATTTGGCCTTGGCATTGAGTCAGAAGCAGACAATAAATATGGCAAGAAACTGTTAGTAAATTAATACAGAATTAGAAAAGACCCAGAGTTAAACAAAAAAATTTACAAGATTCCAAAGAGAGAGGTGGCCTCACCATTTCAGATCTAAAACTGTATCAAAGCAAGGTGCCTATCACGGATAACAGAATGGATAAAATACCTAAGTAGTAGAATGGCAATTTTGGAGGGAGCTGGTTTAGCCAATGGACTTCATAGGTACTTATGGTACAGAGACACAAAGGAGGATAAAAACTTAAAAGGACATATTATCAGACAAAGTTTGATAAAAGTATGGAATGCTATAAAGGGAATACAATAATAAGCCCAACAATTTCACCCCAGCTTCTCCTTCAAATGCTTTTCACGGTGGAGATAATTACAGCAAGAAAAATGTAATTGCATATGCATGTAGGTTTACTCAGACTCTACAAGCAAATTAAAAACACAGCTAGAACTATTAGTGAAGGCTGGGATATACCATGGTTGATGTATTTACAAACAGCTGGAAGGATAAAATCAGATCTCAAAAAGGAAGGAGGGATATTGAGGAAAAAAAATTGAAACTCTCATATAAAATCAGCAACACCAATTAAGGTGTGTATATATAAACTCTTACATAGATATGATACAAAAACAGAACAAATCCCAACAATATCTGATTGGGAACTTAAACTTGGAGAACATGCAGCAATGGCAAAACTAACAGTTTACTTACACAATAGAAGTTTAACTAAATTTAAGCAAGAATGTTTCACATACATACAATACATCACGCAGCATGAGTAAATATAACCACTTACAGTACGGTTTTAAGGGGGCTTGAATGCTTACAAATATCACAGATCAGCAAATGTACAAAAAGAGGGAGTCAGAAATCAATGGTTTTTCTATTATTATTATTATTATTATTATTATTATTATTATTATTATTATACATCCTTTTTTCTTTTTTTCCTACTTTTTAGGTATTTTAATTTTTGTTAAAGTATATAAATATCCAATAGAAGAGAATATATATAGCTGAGAGTTGAACTGTGGAGTCCTTGGTGCTCTCTGAGCTTGGTTATTTGCTTGCCAACGTTTCATTACCAACTAGATAACATTATCAGTGCTAGTGAGTATGGGGTGTGCTCCCTGTTTATATATAGTAGCTTGCCCTGCCAGTGTTGTTGTTGGTGTTCTCCGTGGTAGTTCTTTGATTGGGGTATTGTTTTCGGCTTGTTTGTCTGGTGTTAATCCCTGCTTATCTGGGTGTTGACTGCTGGAGAAGATGTGTTCTGGTCTTTTTGTTTCCTTTTTAGATTTTTTATTGTCTCTTTTGAATGGTGAATAAATATGATTTATCTATCTCTATGCAGATAAATTTATTAATATAGTTAGATAAATATATTCAAATATATCAATTTTGATGTGAATTGCAGCGGTTCTTTTTTATGTTATAATTAACTTTGGATGAAAAGTCAAATAATCTTATATCTGTAATATTGATATCCTAATTGCAATTAATACTGATATAATTTTTACTTTTCTCTTTTTATCTTCAATACTTTAAACTTTCTAAATAATAAAAAGTTCATAATTTTTAATCATATTACATAAATATTACTGCATTGAAATTTGCATTGAAATAATACAATGTATCAAGATTTATAACATTAAAATAGAAGGGAAAAAAAGAGGCAGACAATAAATATGGAATAGAGCCTTGATGTGGGAAATCCTGGATTCAATAGCCCCACATCTGTAATCAAACATTTCTGTAAGGAATGACCAAGTCAGTCTCTGAAAGTAGGGACAAAACGATATACAGTACTCTGATTGTGAATAATTATATACTTGCAGAATGCTTTAGTTGCTCTTTTGGTTCAAATTCCCAGTGATGACCAATGCTATGATTAACTTTGTTATCCCAAACTGGGGTTTTTTTTGTTTTTTTTTAAGAAAATTCTTAGCAGGATCTTTGGCTGCTAACATGCTTTCAGCTCAGAAAATATGACTTCCGAGACACCACCATTTTTTAAAAGTTAAGCACTTAAGATCTCTTTTCTAAGCAGCAAAAAGAGAAACATCAACTCCCCCAAAACAAAGGCAGACAGCACATTCTGGGAAGAGTTAGTTTTGCCCAGCTTGCTCTATATTCTTAGCTTTGTGGTTTTAGAAACTTTCAGGTCATAGTAAGCTAAGTCAGCAAAAAGTGCATGTTAGCCAAAAAAACAAACAAAAAAAGATCAACTTACTTTAAAAACAAAGGGCTAAAGTTGGAAAATTACAACTTGCAGAACTTAGAAAATTACAGCTCCCAAAAAGTTTCACAACCTTTTGCTGAAGAGAAAAAAAGAAGTACAGTATAGTGATCAGTTACCTGGATAGTAAAGGCACTAAATCTTGGGTCTATTTGGAACATGTTTCTATTGCTTGTTTGAACTACTGTAGTAAAACTCATGTTTTGAAGGGAAACATGGAAATGAAAACTTTAACAAACAGATGAAGGGCAACAAGAGCAAGCATGGACACACCCAAAAGAATGAGTCTGTATTGCTCCTCATGTAATTAGCCCTCTCTTTAGGACTGTTGCATTGTAGACCTTCCTTGCTGCAAAATCTGACTATATATGGCCACTGGCCTCTATACTCAACAGGTAACAGAATGCCCCCCACCTTTTACTCAAGTAGAGCCATTGGCTGGTTTCTTGTCTGAATTTCAGATGTCCGCTCAGGAAAATTCTATAACTCCCAAAATATAATATTGTTCCATTCCCTTCAAGTCCAAGTTACAGGAATGGGAGGAACTAGACATGGACATTATTATTACAATTATCATCTATTTAATTTGAATGCAGAATAGTTTCTACAATTCTTAACTGGGCCACCATTTACACCCAAGAATCAAAATTAAATAAACAAGATTAAACAAAAAAGGTCATAGGCCCTGAACAAAGTCAGTTAGGTACAGCAGCCTGTGCCAACCTGATGCCTTTCAGAGATGGTAGGAATAGTTATTTGTTGAGGATGAAAGGAGCGGAAGAGTCATGCAACTGGAGGACGCTAGGCTGGGGAAGGCTGTACTTCAGAGAAGTTGTTTGCACTTCCTTTCCTTTCCTTTCCTTTCCTTTCCTTTCCTTTCCTTTCCTTTCCTTTCCTTTCCTTCCCCTTTCTCCCACTCTCTCTCCCTTTGTATTTCAGCCAAGACCGGCAAACCTCTGGTAACATGCCTTATCACCTTATCACCTTGTTATTTTGCCACCTTATCGCCTTATCATTTTACACTAGCACCTGGAAATTTGAAAGCACTTCACTGCTGAGAGCAGTGGCAGGGGCATCCATTATTGGGGGGAGGGAGTTAAAACAGTCAAGATGCCAGGCATGGCCACAAAAATCACCCCCCCACACACCTTTTCATACATGTGTGATATACATATAAAGGGCGAGGTTTCAATTGTGCGGTCACCACAACCATCTTAACGTTTTTGATGCCCCTGAGAAGTAGCATCTCAGAATTGGATGGCTCCTAAAGGCAGCATAATTTCTATGAAGTTAAATTCTCACAATCATTAGTTTTAACACCAACCTAGAGAGACCAGTGTAAAAATGTGATAGGCCATGCCAAAGTAGTGGTGGAGGAAGGGTGTTATTTGTTAAGGAAACTTCCTGGCTTGGGCATATTAACTTGAACATTGAAAAGACTCACTTCCACAGCAAATTCTCTTGCTACAAATACTGATACTGCTATAAAAAATGATCAAGGAAGTAAATACCATTCTCTTTTCTAGACAGCTGGATGGTAATTCCCTGATGGAAGTTTACAGGACAGCTGCTCTGCCTCAAGGCAATTAAGTATGATATTCTGCAGAACTGCATCATAATCTTATCCTGATTAATATTCTAATGAAAATACTGAGTGAGGTGCTGCTGTTCTCAAGGGAGATCAAAATTCTGAAGGATGTCAGGCAAACAGACTTAATTTTCCATTGGATGCCCTGCGGGAGCAGGAAAGCCAGGCTCTAGCAGGCTCAGCATGCACAGAAAGCATGATGGGCTTAAATGCAGGAGTTGCAGATAGGCACCAACCTATTTTACTTAATTAAAATGTATCATATGAGGAATACCAGGGTGAAGAAACTACAGCTACCACTAACATATTTTTTTCCACAGTGCCCTTGGCTCCCGAAAAAGAGCCCAGAGACATCATGGGGAAATTATGATATTGGCAGCTGCAATCACTTTGCTCAGATGAAATGCTGTTTCATCTTTGTTGCTATTCAACGCAGCACTGCCACCCACCTTGCCAACATCGGCATCAGGAATACCCAGTTGAGTTGCCTGGGTGACCTCAAACCTGGCACTACTTGGAACCCACTTTGGGGGATGATGTTTGGAAGGCCTGAATCCAAGGATCTGACACCTCCAATCCAAATATAACTTTTCATCATCTCCCCAGAATCACATATAAGAATCCAAGTAGAAATATGCTGCTGGATGTGGACCAAATACAACCGGCCTCAGATTGGATGCAATTAGCTACAATGTTTTCTTTCTATAGAGGAAAAAAGATAATATACTGAATGAATTTAATTATATGTTTGATAGGCCAAGAA